GGATTGGCAGAGGGGGGTGGTGATGGAAGCCAGTGGAGGGATTGGCAGAGAGGGGTAGGTGATGGAAGCCAGTGGAGGGATTGGCAGAGGGGGGCAGGGGATGGCAGTTTTGATAGACTGAAGGGGGGACAGCCTGTGTTGGGTCAGGAGGAACTTGCTCATGAGAGCTTACAATTTTTTTCCCGTCATTTCAGAGCGCTGATTCAGCTTTGCTGCGCAATGAGCCCCAAAAAACGGCAAAATTATTCCGATCGTTAACTGGTAAGTCCAGAAATCTGCAGGAGAACAATTGGTAGGCAGGGACAGAGCATTGTCACCCTATAACAGGAAGTGCTTGAACAAGGATAGAGCTTTGTCACCCTATAACAGGATTGTCCCCCCTTGCCCCTTGTGAATGAGTAAGGGGTACCCCTACCCCCCTTGTACCCCTACCCATTCACTAAAGGGTTAAATCAAATAGATATTAAAAAGTCCATTAAAAAGTTTGATAAAAATCCTTTAACCACTTCAAGACCAGGTGTTAGACCCCCTTCCTGTCCCGGCCATTTTTCAGTGTTCAGCGCTGCGGTACTTTGACTGACGTTTATTCCGTCATGCAGCGCTGTACTGAAATTAATTTTATACCATTTTTTGGGGACAGATAGGGCGTAAGCTGTAGCTCCCTATATACTGAGCTTAGGGTGACGGGAGGACGCTAGTTTGTGTCCTGTTACCCTGAGGAGAACTATGGGGAAAAGCCCTGACCTCGTAGTTCTCCTTTAATGTCATTTTGCTGCCACAAAATTTTGTCCAACATGTGAAAGTTCGGAATCGGATACTCGGATTCGTTAGATCTGTAACGCGGATACATCCGAACATCTGAATTTCCAAAATTTCGTCCGAATTTCGATTCGGAAAACGAAACGCTTGGCACAGATATAATGAGTGATATATAGTATACGGCTCTGCGGTAGGTCACGGCGGTCAGATTTCGGCGTGTTCCCGGGGGCGTCGGCGGTATATATTTTGTATATAGATCTTCGGTCTGAGCCGCCTCTCGTCTCACCGACACCTGACGTTGTATTTCCTGACAGTCGGAGCTCCGGACACTCCGGTGAAATACGGCAGGGGGAACGTAGACGGCAGCGGCGGCGCAGCTCTGCCGTGCGAAACAACGGATGAGACGATCGAGGAGGAAGATTGAAGCTTCTCGCAGATCCGCAGCAGAAATCCCGGCAATATCCTGAAGCTTATCCGCGCCACCCATACAGAGACGAAGTCCAGATAATCACGCCACTAAGTGCGCCACATGGCGGAATATCCCCTCCCCCGCAGGGGCCCCAGAAACCTTACAGGACCCTCAATCCACCCCGAGACCCGAAGAGAAAAATCACAGCCTGACCTTTAAAGAGAACCCGTCTCATACACAGAACCAGCAGCAGTCAGATGCGTGGGGGGGAGGGGGTCTTAGAGGTTAGCCATTGTAATCACATGAGAGTAAAAGTTACTTTTAAAAGTGAATGTGTCATCCTTATCCTTGGTGAGCGAGGGATTTGGAGCAAGCATGCAGCCAGTGATGTGTAAAGACACAAAGGGATCTGTAACTCTCCCCACGGCACGGCCACCACTAGATGGCGATGAGGAGCATAGGCATTTCCTATGGGGAGAAGAGTTATAAGTCAGCCCCATGACCTGCATATGATGCTGGTCAGTGACTCCCCCAGGGGAGAAGTAAGGATGGATATGACGGCCCTGTCACCGGCACTCTTCATATTACTTCAAAGCAGCTCTGATCTCAGGACTGAAAGTAAAAAGCCGAGACCTGGAACCTGACAAGGGGGCATGACACCCCCCCACCCGAAGTGAAGTGAATAGAACGCTGTTCGGCTGTTCAGTTTGGGCTTGTACAGCTGATTTCAGGCATACATCGGCTGGCTTTGGCTCACTCACTGGTTCCACTCAGCCCAAGTGAAGAACACGTTCCACTCAGCCAATCCAACATCTGGAACGGCTTGAGCCGAACCTCCGACAGGCTAATCGCTGCCGTTCGGCCTATTCTCATAGGAATCGAACGGCAGTGAGTAAATAGCAGAGGCGGCATTCGGCTTGGCTGCTCTGCTCGCTACCTCCATGGTACCGAGCAGGCTGTTCCCCATAGTCCTCCCGTCACCCTAGGCTCAGTATACCGCGAGCTGCTTTGGGTTTCACTTCAGCTCAGTCCAGCCAAATCATATGCCTTTGGGTCAGTTGAGCCGCTCGGCCGCCTTCGGGAGCTGTACGGGCTATAGTGAATATAGTGAATACTTCAACAGTTCCACTGAACGAAGGGCTCCGGCGGCCGAAGCTACATCTGGATCCTTCGGCTAGCTTTGTGAATAACCCTCTTAAAGGAGAACTATGAGGGGGGGAGGGGGGCTTCTCACTCACCTCATAGTTCTAGCCGACCTGTGACAATGAGACTGTCACAGGTCGGCTCAGTAGATCGGGAGGTGAGAGAACACATACCGGCGTTCGCTCACCTCTCAAACCTGTCACGGCTCTCTCCCGGGACAGGGGAGGGTCTGGATTCCCCTCTCCGATCCGCCAGCGCTGACTGGCGGAACGGACGGGGGAGGGGGCGGGTACAGCTGGCTCTGCCTCTAGATAGGAGGAGCCAGCTGTCACTCACATCTCAGTATACCGCGAGCTGTAGCTCCCTATATACTGAGCCTAGGGTGACGGGAGGACGCTAGTTTGTGTCCTCCCGTTACCCTAAGGAGAACTATGGGGAAAAGCCCTGACCTCATAGTTCTCCTTTAATCTCCAATGTTCCTGAGGGAGGTCATTATTAAATGCCTTCAAAGTGCAACACCGAGTTACTTCATTACATTCATCTGAAGTCACCGGATACATTTGTAGCATTCCAGGTCATCTCTATGTATGAAGGAATGTCGCTACATTGTATCAGGACGTCATGCGGAGAGATTGCGGGATCTTCAATAGAAGCAGATTTATGTATATGATATTACACACAATAGGAATAAATAATATATATACAATATTTACAGACAATCTCTACGTATGAAGGACGATCGCTACATTGTATCCGGACTTCATTCCGAGAGATTCCGGGATCTTCAATACAAACAGATTTCATGATACAAACATTATAAATCCTCTTCTGCTATACAATGCTGTGATGGATCCGCTCTGACTTCTCATGGAATGGATTCTGATCCGCCAGACTTATTGCAGTTTATTAAATAGTAGGTGTGGCCCCCCATCTACCAGGAAGTGCCTGAACAAGGACCTCCATGGCAGGATCACCAGGGATTATATCATAGAAAATGCTGCAGATCTAAATATAATAAAATGACTTTTGTCTTTAGACGACGATGTTAAAGGTTATATGAGATTTTACTGATTGGGTGTACATCCACTTATTGTGCACTTCCATATCCTGCCATCAGGGACCGCCCAGCGCCCAGAACTGCATGTCCCGGGCACCAGGAGATAGGCATTCAATACCCCTGCTCCCCCTCTACTCCCTGCTGCCCCAAGGCCGGGCCTAGGTTGGCCTTGTGGGAAATCCAGCCCTGCCTGCCGTGTACAGCACATGGGGTATATACTGCATCACAGACAGATCATTCACATGTATAAGGCTCTGCAGGCCCAGGCGCTGAGTGCTCCCACCACCAGGTCTCGGAGGAAGCCCCCTCTAGAGCCCCCTCAAGTCTACCAATGGAGTGTCCCTCTGTGGCCCGGTGTTGGAGAGCCCTTGAGCCAGCGAGCACCACAAAAGCTTGCAATCACCTTCTGATCACTTCCAGCAACGATGAGGCCGGGGAGCGTGGAATGCCGGAATCTTCTGAACTCAGCAAGTCAATCACATAAATTTCCCCTCAAATGTCTTTGGTCAATGCTGCCAGATCCCACCTGGGAGGTCCACAGGGACAGGAAGCCACGAAAAGTGCGTCTGTGCTGGTTGCAGGAACAGAAGGCGAAACTCAGGCGTCTGACCGCTTGTCATTCTGTCCACACGGATTACCAAGCCTGCGCCATAGTGACCTGGAGTGCTGCCTCTCCCACCATGTTCTGCCCTTCCATGAGAGGTGTTGGTAGACCTCTAAAATGAAATTAGGAAGTGAGAATCCAAATTTTAGAGGCGGCTCTCTGTTATCCGGGGGAACCCTTCTGCAGAATGTGAAAAGGATCATCAGAGCTCCGCAGATATAACCTGAGTCCAGGAAATCATTATTGTACAAGGTCAGAAGGGAATGTGAACATGTTTTGGGGGCTCAATATTCCCCCTTCATCAGAGTCCCTCTGCTGCTTGCACTCCCTCTCCTGAGGAAATCCATTGGGCCCTGATGAAGGGGAGTACGGGGCCCCTGAAACACGTCGGATTCCTCTTCCGACGTTCTGTCTTGTGCGATAAAGTTTTACTTCCGCTGTCATACTCTTCACATTCACCATGTGCTCCCCTTAGGAGGGAGAGGAGCTCAGCTTCATCCCCGGCCGGGTGAATGTGGCCACACCTACATGTCTGAGCGGTAGAATGCGCAGTCCTATATATCGACCTTGTGCAGTGACGGTATCAATAGAAATAGGATGTACTTTAGATCAGTGCTTCTTAAAGTGTGGGTCGCGACCCCATATGGGGTCACGCAAGTGAACAGGGGGGGGGGTCGCGATATGAATCCCTGGGCTCCAAGCAAGATTTTTTTATTTTCGTTTAATGTTTAGTGTTCAGTGTAGTGTAGTTGTTAAGGCCGCAGGCCCCCCCCCCCCCCTGTGCACTTGGTACCTTCCTGAGCACGTGCGCATGTGGCGCATGTGGGGGGTGTTGGGGGGGTGTGTTGGGTGGGGAAGTGGAGAGAGACACTGCCCGACACTGAGAGGGGGGGGGGTGGTTGGTGTGGAGAGAAGAGGAGAGAGACACCGACCGAAGCTAAGAGGGGGAGAGGAGAGAGACACTGACCGAAGCTAAGAGGGGGAGAGGAGAGAGACACCGACCAACGCTAGGGGAGGGGGAAGACACACTGTCCGATGCTGAGGTCACGAAAAATGTCCTTGTCCTCGGCCAAAAAGGGGTCACGAGTGGAGGAAGTTTAAGAAGGCCTGCTTTAGATCAGGGGCGGGCAACTCCGGCACTCCAGCTGTAGTGGAACTACAAGTCCCATGATGCATTGCAATGACAGCAACAGATATGACTCCCAGAGACAGAGTAGGATTTTCAGCAAGGCTTGCCTACCCCTGCTCTCTCTCTCATTGAGCTCCCATCTGTCACATTCCTCAATGGGAGCCGGAGATGATGAGGGTGGTTGTTGTTCTAGTCTGAGCACCCCTGATAGTGGGACGTAGGGTGCCGGGACAGAGGAGTGGAAGGAGCGCTGGCAGGTGACGTTGCCGCTGATGTCACCGGACCTGGTGAAGCAAATGTCTGGATTCTGGACGTGGCAAGGAATGCCGCTCACCGGAGTGGGATGCCGGCCGTGGTTGGAGAAGATGGCACCAGCGCAGCGGGCAGGAACAGGGCCGAGGACAGGCGCGGTGGGCAGCGAAGTACAAGGCAGCAGGCAGGCAGGGGAGTGGGCGGGGCACAGGATGAGGTCACACAAGAACAGAGCCGTGCAGAGATCAGAAGAGTGGCGAGGAAAGCCGGGTCAGTGACAGAAGATCGGGAACAGAGTCTCAGATTACAGGGTACGGCTGGAGATCTCTCACCACTGGAGGCGTGCGGAGGCTCCGCCTCAAAGAGACTATTCGGGGGCCCAATTCGTAACGAGTACATGTGTGCACCTTCATGTATGTTGTATGATGCACCCATGTCTACTCAGAGGTGCACGAGTATGCACAACTCTATTAGAAGTACTGTGCACGCATGCGCAGAAGCTTGTGCGGAAACCTCCACTAAAAAGGCAGTGGCTTTGCCTAGACTGAAGATGTATTTCCTCAGTCTCCCCTCCCCCAGTGATCAATCTGCTGCAGGCAGGAGGATGCATTTCCTCAGTCTCCCCTCCCCCAGTGATCAGTCTGCTGCAGGCAGGAGGAAGCATTTCCTCAGTCTCCCCTCCCCCAGTGATCAGTCTGCTGCAGGCAGGAGGAAGCATTTCCTCAGCCTCCCCCCCCAGTGATCAGTCTGCTGCAGGCAGGAGGAAGCATTTCCTCAGCCTCCCCCCCAGTGATCAGTCTGCTGCAGGCAGGAGGAAGCATTTCCTCTGC